TACTACTACTAGTACTACTACTAGGAGTACTACTACGAGTAGGAGCAGGTATGTGTAGGAGTAAGGGTAGGAGCAGGAATTGTCGGAGTAGGAGCAGCAGCCGCAGCAGACGCAGTCTCAGCGGCAGTATCTGTGTATCAGGAGCAGCGCAGCTAACGGCAGGAGGAGCAGCAGCAGCAGTCCAACACATATATAGTAGCAACAGTATTAGCATCCCTTCCAGCGGAGCTCTCGAAGCTTTCAGCGAGCAGCGAGCCCTTAAACGCTTTTGGAAAACGGCCAACCACGGCGTTGCTCCGGGTTTTAACAATGCGCTACCTGTGAACAGTGAGTGCGAGTATCATAATCAGTATGAAAATAGTTTAGGACACCCCCAAAACCTTGGATTCTCCTGCAGCCTTTTCGAGAGGACGCAGTACTACGAAGGAGAGGCTTGGAAAGAGCCAGAGCTCGTGCCTGAAGCCAAAGCTGCCGGAACCTGAGTGTGTTTGAGGCAAACCCCAAGCCCCAAGCATTGGCACGAAACGCCTCAACCCTCAGGCACCAGGTCGTGCCGAGTCTGCCAGCTTTGCGCCAAAAAAGCAGGAGGCAAAGGGACGGTAATTTGGGAAATTGGGTTTAATCAGCTGTCTTTGGGCTACTCGAACAGGCCCCGACTATTGAGATGCTAGCTAGCACGAGCAATTAGCATAAGACTATCCGGTCTCTGAGGTCCATGGTCATTGAAGCCACACGTTCTTGGGCTTTTCGCCTGCCAATGGGAGATTTGCCGAGAAGAGATGCCTACCGGAGGTGGCTCCGATTCCACAAATTCCGCTCAACGAGATCCGTGGCGTGCTCGAGCTTGTACAGGCAGTATAGCCAAACGTGAGCAGTGGATTGTGGCAGGGAACAGATGAGGCTGACGGCGATGGAAAACAACGGCGATGGTGTGAAGATGCTCATTATCAACAATCGAGATGACGGTGATTGCTGGTGAGATCGGCATAGTGGTGATTGACAGTGGTGACGATGGTGGTGGTAATGATATCGATGGTTATGGCGACGACGATTGTAGTAACGCAGCTAAGGCTAAGAAGCCATGATGGTTAGAATGACGACGCCGCTGACGACGATGATAATGGATATGGTTATGATTCGTTATGACAATGATCTTGTTGGTGGTGCGCATGATGACCTTCGTGCCCGTCGTGCAGCTATCCGATAACGATGATGCTGCTGATGCAGGCTGTTCACAACGGTTCGATGATGATGGTAATTGATGATGGTGGGAATGATGATCATGGTGATGCTGAGCACGCGAATGAAGATGAGGACAGCGACGAAGGTGGTGATCGGGAACGTTGTGTTGGTGATGATGGTGATGGCCATCATCATTATGACTTTTTGATGATGCTGCAGATGGTGAAAAGCACCCTTGTGGTATTGGTGTAGGTGATAACGAAGGCCGCGGTGAAGTTTTTCCCTCTTGTTCCTCTTCCTCATCCCCTCCTTCACCTCCTCAACATCATAGTCGTCATCGTCATCGGCACCACTCAGAGATCTTTGTCTCGTTGCTAACGTACTTGTTCGAAGCATGTTTACCAGTCTATTGCGGTTGAATGCGTTGATCTGACTTCTGTTTCTGTTCTATATGTCTTCTTGCACCATGTTGCTTGCTATTCTGTCCAGCATCCTTGGAACTGATTCGTGTTATGCCGAACACGACCATCATTGCCACAAACAGTCATGCTCTGCACCTTACGATCAGCAATAGCTTGCCCGTTGGCTTGCCGCGCAGTCCCCCGGCCCGGGACACCCTACGGAACAGCGCGGCGTTGCCTTCGTCAGCGGGAAGTGGCAGCGGCTGGTGCGCCCCCGTGAATGTGTTCTTGTTGTTGGTGGCACTGGTCCAGGGTCTCGTCGAAGTACCAGCCGCAGCAGCACCCCGAAGGGGGCCATGCTGTGCCTGAATGGCTTCAGGCATGAACGGTTTGAGCCACGTAGACTGAACGAGTGTGTTCCCGAGACAATACGCCTTAACTCTCGGAGCCACACATGCCAGGCAGAGCCCGGCACGCCCAGCCACGAAGCTGAGCCCGTTTCGGCCTGGCCCGCGGTGGGTTTCGAAACAGCGCATGAATCAAAACAACTACACAGCTTGCAGGCAGCAGCTCATAACCAGGCCATACCTCATAATACCTCCATCTCGCTCCGTAAATCCTGCAATTCCGGGCTGAGCGATGCACTTCCTGTACCCAACAGAGGTTCCGAGCTCAATGCCTTGACCGCGAAGCTAGAATCAAAAGGGATACCCTCAATTGGTGATGAGGATGCCGTCGTGCACCTATAGGCTTCTGGCGATTCCCATCCGTCGCGGCACATCGAAGTAGGCAAGCCGAGAAACCCCGAAGCAGGAGCCTCCTAGCTGGGTACCAGCTAAATTGTTCGCAAACTTCGAGCTTCGGGAGTCCATCTGCGTTGCGAGTCCAAACCATGTCGAGCCAGACTTGTACTTCGCCGGCTAGCTAGTTGCGTTTGGCTCCAGTCCTGATATCTTCCGGTCTGCCCAGTGGCACCGAGCACCATGGCTTACGACTTCCATCGAAGCAGCATGATGCCGTTGACCTTCACATTCAAAGAGCCTTGTCGGCAAAGTCGGTGCGCTCGATCTGGAGCCAACGTGTGAGCTGTCTCAGCCCGTGTAGGTTTTTCTCAAATATGTTCGTGAGTTCTGTGCAATTTGGTGCCAAATTCTAGTGATCTAGTATGCCGGATCAGGAGAAAGCGAAGCTTCCACACATGCCGCAGGGCGCCTTGCAGAGAGAGGAGTGGGCCGTGATGAAATGCAGCAGGCAAACCAATGCCCGTTATGATTTGTGATATGCGGGGCTTAACTTGAAGTTGAATCACAGTAGTATGCTGTTCTACGACGCTCCTAGCTGCTCTGATATACCGAGCAAGCCGTACAAACACACTGCGCCGCAAGCCGCGACCTTTTACTTGTTTGAGTCCATTAGAAGTGGAAAAACAGCACACGAGGCCAACCAGTTATTCGACGTTTGGTGTGCGCCGACACCGCAAAACTGTGCATGTGCCGTACGCGTATTTCCACAGCTTGCACCTGGCTTGTTGTGGAAGGTGTGCGGTGCATTCTTAGACGAACGACTTTCTGCAGCCTTTGTGCGATGTGCCTACATCATTCAGCAACCAGTGCTTCAACAAAGCAGTGACGGCGTGCCCATGGCCCGCATTTTCACTGGTTGAATTACTAGGACCTCTCGAAATCAAGTCGCCCTGGCATTTCTTGCCCGTCCATGCACAGAGGAGCAGTCGAGGTCCGCCGTTACGCGGGCACGAAGCCCTTCTGCAGTAATGTGTGCACGACGGTCTTTGCGGGTTCACAGTTCGGCATGTTCCGGGGCTCGGCTGGACGGATTGGCATGTCTGGCCTTCAGGTTGGCCTTTTTTTCAAGTTGGCTGACTGTGGGCATGCATTCCGCGAGTCATCGCGAATCGTGTAGAGTGCAGCAACTATGGCTCCCACGATCGTTTTTATGTCCTCAAGCATCCAGTATGCAAAAATGAGGTTTGCTGCATTCAATTCGTTGCGCTGCCGCCCATCGAGGATTCTTATGTCATGTTTCGCAGCCCTGATGTCCTCAAAGCTCGATGCCTCAAAGCTTAGAAGCCAAGGTTTGGCTGCAGATTCTTCAAAGCTGCAGCGACGTGCCTCTGGCCGTGCAAGGCTGCGGCAGGTTCTACTCGGCCACATGGCTGCGACCGTGAGACCTTCTTTTGTTAGGAGCTGACTGCCATAGCTGGGTTTAGGGTTTAGGGTGTAGGGCAGTTGAGGACTATGACGTTCCCCAGTTTCAGATGCATGATCCCCCGGAGAGCAACCTCGATTTCCCGAAGGCCTTACAGCGGAAGACGCTGTTCCTGACAGCGAGGAGTGTCAGCGGGTGGCCAAGATCCGGGATCGGCTGAAGGCAGGAACTTCCGTAGCAGATCTAGGATCGCATCATGGGCTAGGGTTTGGGATTGGGGATGTAATTAACACTTACGTGCGGTGTTCCAAAACAGTGCCACCGGCGTCCCTGAGAACGCATGTTGAAGACTTTGCCTTGTCGTTGCCAGCGGTGAAGACCATGACTCACGGTGTGGCTTGCGTCCGGAACTGCGACCACATCGTTCAGTGTTTCGTGAGGCAATCCCGCATGGTCCCAATATAGCATGGAAATCCACCATTATAACTTCTGCAAGCAGAACGGCGCAGTCACAGGCTCGTCCAAGAGATGCAGTCGGAGAACCCTGACCTCGTTTTCGTTACCTGATCGACACAAGCACCCAGTAAGCTTGACATGAAAACAAAGGCCTCAGGTGGAGGTTCAAACTTGAAGCGAACATAAGGAAAGACCAGGAGGGCCGCCACCCCGAGACATCAGCTGATCCCTCCGCTCGGATGGCCTTGAAGGCTTGCGAAAAGGCAGACGAAGCCTTGCTCCAGCTTCAGAATCTCGCTGCAATGCCCGTGGACGCCGTCGTGCTGCGGCAGACAGGTGGCTGAAGCAAAGTTTTGTCTGCAATAGCCAAACATGAGCGTCAGAGTGCAGCGCATCAAAGCGCAGCATGAGCCCAAAAGGCAGTTTGCAGTCCTGCAAGGCATTGGCAGAGTGGTCAACGACGTGGCGAAGGCAGAAACGGGGCTGGGGATGCCAACCAGAAGACGAAGAAAAGGCATTCTATCTCCACTCGAAGACTGTCCGTTCCCATTGCAAAACAGAAAGTTTTGATCCCTACAACATCGTCGACCGCAGGGCGGGGTCCAGAAAAGCAGATCCGACATGGGCTTTGATCCATGCATCGGTCAAGAGTCGAAATATTTCAAAAGTCCTTCCGTATCATCTGCACACCTGAGGCCTGGAAGGGGCAAGAGGCAGCACGCCAGACTCTCGTGGCTTGCCTTTCTTTGTTGAAGTCACGCCTGTCAAAGCATACACATCGGAACAACACAGAGCAGGTCGTACATAAGACATCTGTGTGGACATGTGCTCATGAAGATTGTAGAGTCAGAGTCTGTATGTGAAGGGTGTGCAAGGGTGTACAAGCTCCTCCCGATAGCTGTTGCCATTCTCAGTTTGCATATGTTGACGGTTTGATCGAGGCTGCAGCCCGCGAATTGGTGGCCAAATGGCGGGCGATGCACCGCCAGGACACCTGGGTGATGTGGTTACAGTCGGTCTTCTGGTCAGACTGCCATTCGGGGCTTGCACAGGAGACAGATGCAGTTGACGATGTTTCTGCAGATCTGGAGAAGGCTCTGTGGGAAGATCTCGTGACCGAAGACGATGTCGATGACAGAAGCTTGGCCGAGCGTGTGGACCATATTCGGGGCAAGCTCGTGCAGAGGTCTGTGCTGTAGGCCGTGTATCGTCGTGAGTCTGTTGAACTCCTTTTCCCTGGCCACCTCAGGCGACGAAGAGTACCAGGCTCTGCACGGATCCGCGCGCTTACGTTCTTACTACCAGCATTGCGTCTCCTTGACAGGGCTCTCCCCGATTTCGTGCAACAGCGTGGCTCCATCTTATCTCCCAACTTCTGATTCTGATCGAGGGACTTGCTCGGAGTTCTGCGACTACAACGCAAGCCATGTATAATGTGAGCTCAGAGTGGATGAGGGTGGGTTGTGTCCATGTGGTCCTTGACTTCACCGAGCACAAGAGCTCCGGCCCTTATCTGCCGAGAGTCGCAGGTTATTAAGTTATCCTCGTGACTGATGGTCGCGCAAGACGGATCTTTCTTTGCCTCGCACTTTTCTGAGTCTGGCTCCCGGTTCTGATAAAAAAATGCGGCAGATCTCTGTCGCAGGCTCGCCTCGGAGCTGTCGTGCAAGCGCTGGGCTCTGCGGATGTGCGGCAGCGAGCGATGACCAGGATTGGATTTGGGCTTTCGGGGGTCGGAGAGCTTGGAGGGGGAGATCCAAAGATTTAGCGGGGAGTTGCGGGCAAAGGTTCAAGCTGTGGGAATAGGCTCATGAGGCCTTCGGAATGGGCCCGCCTGCTGGGGTTGGTTGTCATGACACACCCCGGACTGTCGTGACAGACGGCGGATTGTGCTCCGAACTCGCAAACATCACACCTGTAGATCCTTGACCCGGTTTGCAGATCAAACTCGTGAGGCTTCTCACACCTGCAAGACTCGGATTGAAACGTCCCGGGTTCTACACTCTAGATTCTCGATGATATCACTGGCATTGGTTCCAAGCCGTGTGAGAGGGTGCAGATCGGGCAACATCTGCTTTTTCGGCATGGGTGACGACTCAGTGAGTGTAGAGGTTTGTCTGTCGGACAGGACTAGCCAAGCAGTCTTCAGAGGTACTGTTGCGAAGCAGGGTGCATTAAGAGACACCCGAAAAGAACAGAACGCGGATAAAGCCGTGCTTTTCTCATTAGTGAGTACACGAACAATCGAGATCTCTGAAGCTAAGATAATCCGTCAAACCCTCAACTGAAATCCAAGGCCCCGAATTAAGATCTTCGCCAGGAGTCAAACTCGCACGGTTGTGGAGGAGCGAACTGGCGAAATGTAGCTATGGGCCAGGTGCTTGTGGGGCTGCGCTGTTTTCCAATACGGGCCGGGGGAGGTGTGTTTGTGAGGTGGTTTGGCATCTCGAACTGCAGGAGGCGCTATCTGCAATGTCTTCGGCAGAGAGGTGACGGAGTTTGGCGGCTTGACAAGCGATTGTCATCTTCTTGCTTCTAAGGCTTCTAAGGGCTGGCATGTGCTTCGGGTTCAATCTGTGCACTCCTTGATTTTCAACCACTAAATACAGGCGCAGCTCAAAAGCGCCTGAAGAAGGCGGCTCTTTGGATGAAGCGTCACCGGGCAGTTCATTCCCCCACCACCTCCGCCTCCGCCTCCGCCTCCGCCTCCACCGCCACCGCCACCAACAACACAGGACAAAGAAGAAAAATCAGAAGAAGAAGAAGAAACAGAAGTGGAAGAGTAATAAGAAGAAGACGAATATGAATAATAAGACATCGAAGACGGACACGAGCAGTAGCAGCAACAACAACAACAACGACGACGACATCAACA